GCGCGTGCCACCAACGCCCCCGCCCCCCCCCATGTTCGGAATTTGTTACCCGAATAACGCTTGCCATGCCCTGATCTGACCACCGTCAGGGTCCAGCGCATCTACCACGCTGCCCGCTTAGTGGGGTCATGTGCTGACTGTGACCGTCTGCTGGGCTGACTCGAAGGCAGAATCATCCGGGATATCATCTCCTCCGAACTCGGCCCTGATTGGTGACGGTGGTTATTTTCAGACGCGAGTGGGTGTATTGACAACTAACTTCAAGCACATCTCTGGCCCTTCGGTCTGCAGGCCTGGCATGTTGGCTGACCAAACAATGTGAATAAGCATTCGCAATATGGTGCGTGCGTAACCTGAAATCCGCTGATCCAGCTCTGAGTAGAGTCATTACAAGAGCGAGTTTGGCCAGACGCTGTCTTATGACGTCTGTTGTATTATACCCGCCTCCTCCATCAGCTGGCCTATATTGGTAAGTGGCACCAACCTGTCTATGAAGGTAACGACTGGCAGAGCTTGAATCCGTGATTTGGTTGCTAGGACCCAGTCAGTTGGACAGGGGTTCGAACCATGGATCTTCCGCATATGGCGTTGAAGTATGGTTGACGTAGGCGAGTACTCAAGTTCTTATATTTCGCTCCATTTTTGTGGTTAGTTGGATTGACTGATTTCTACAGATTTCTAATCGGAAATCTTCTGCAAGCGGCAATTAAGCAAATTAGTGTTTTTAAATTTGCGAAATTTTCCACTTAACCAACATACGTCTGCTTTCGATAAATTATCTTCAGGCTTTTTTTTATTTATCTCGTTATTCAACTAAGTAAAATAGACGGGTTAAGAGGAAGAAACATAACGCTATAAATGTAAAGGCCTGAAGAAAATTTATCGAAAGCAAACGTCTGCTCGGCAAATTATCTTTTGAAATCAGTAGTTCTCGAAAGCGTCTGGAATTTCTCTAGTGTACACCTCCCAAGCCAACTGGACGAGCTTGTTTGGGAATGGATATTTTATCTAGGAGAATCAAAACGACGTCTCCGGCGACCGTCGGTCGCGTGCTTTAACAATTCGATCATAATCTCTCCAGTGAATTTTATTTTACGTCTGGCTTGGGCGTATTTTTAGGTGACTGACCCATGGACTAGATCAGATAGTCAAGGATAGCCGTAGGCATTCGTGTTTGATTAGCAGCCTTGCGAAACAAAGACCGTTTCCGGTAGTACAGTAAGCAAACACCGGTCTCGTCCATTGCGCAGCCATATTTTATTGCCTCTAGCGGCCAGTTCCCGTCTCACGGTCGTCGTTCTGTCGGTCGGTTGGTTGGTTGAGAGCGGGAATTGTATCATTCGTAACCCGAAGTGTCTCGCCCACGACAGTCGTGTGGACACCCGCGGCGGCGGCGGCAGCGAGCATGCAGACAT